CTCCAGAGGCTGGGCGCGGTGGCTCACGCCTGTAATCCTAGCAGTCTGGGAAGCAGAGGCGGGTAGATCACCTGAGGTCAAGAGGTCGAGACCAGCCTGGGCAACATGGTGAAACCCCGTCTCTACTACAAATACAAAAATTATCTGGGTGTGGTGGCCCGCGCCTGTAATCCCAGCTACTTGGGAGGCTGAGGCAGGAGAATCGCTTGAACCCGGGAGGCGGAGGTTGCAGTGAGCCGAGATCCGGCCACTGCACTCCAGCCTGGGCAACAGAGCAAGACTCCATCTCAAAAAAAAAAAAAAAAAAAAAAATGGAGAAAGACAAGAAAAGGGAGAGTTATTACTGGCCACAAGCCCTATATTCTCAAGGGATGCAAATTGGTTCTTCAGTAGGGATACAATAAAATCAGTTTGTGGCCCTCCTAAGGCCCACAGCACATACAGTGTGGCTGTGACATTCCATTTTCATGGCAGGGAGTGATCAGGAAGAAGCTCCCTAGGGGACTGGCGATGAAGACCCGTTGGGAAACACTGCCATGGACAGGCAGTTTTCAGGCTCACTCGAGTTGTCTCTTGACAGTTCTAAATGGGTTCTAACGTGACAGTGGTCTCCAGAGCTACAGCCTTCCCCTAAGTTTAAGCCGTGACCTTAGATTTTAGAAAGACAGTGGGGCGATACCCAGAGTAGTGGTTCTCGAAGAATGTGGTCTGCAGATCCTGGGAGTCCCAAGACCCTTTCAGGGAGGATCTGGGAGGTCAACTGTTGGCACTGCGGTGTGAATCAAGGTGGTGGCAGTAAACTAATAGTTTTGACATGTCCTTGTTAGAAAAAATAACAGTGATTAACTATACTAAATGTTGACCTAGCCAGCGCTGTGGCTCACGCCTGTAATCCCAGCACTTCGGGAGGCCGAGGCGGGCAGATCACCTGAGGTCAGGAGTTCGAGACCAGCCTGACCAACATGGAGAAACCCCGTCTCTACTAAAAATACAAAATTATAGCTGGGTGTGGTGGTGCATGTCTGTAATTCCAGCTACTTAGGAGGCTGAGGCAAGAGAATCACTTGAAGCCAGTAGGTGGAGGTTGCAGTGAGCCAGGATCACACCACTCTACTCCAGCCTGGGCAACGAGCGAAACCCTGTCTCAGGGGGAAAAAAAAAAAAAAAAAGTTGACCTTGAGAACACTTAACCCTGAGACGACTGAAAGCATGCATGAAGCCCCTCTGCTGTGCACTGAAGTATGGATGCCTTGAGGAAAAGCAGTGGTACCATTGAGTTGCAAGCTGAATTGGCTGTGTTCAAGGCATGCCCTTTAGAGTTGAAAGAACTAGCAGATTATGGTATTTAGACTTGAATATTTGGCTGACATTTTCTGGAAAATGAATGGAATGAGCCTCTCACTTCAAGGGAAACAGCTGATAGTGTTGCCAATGATAAAAGAAAGCTTTCAAGCAAAAATTAGAATTTCTGAAAATCTGTACTCCACCATGAGCTTTATTGTTGGGGATATTAACACATGTGATTTGTATAATGAAATGCATTTCATTTGGAAGAATTCAATGAACCAGGTTTCCAAAACCAGTACGTGATGTTACAAAATCATGCATGGCTCGGAGATTCATTCAAAAGTGTAAGGCCAGTGGATTTTAATGTATTAACAATATAAGAGTGCATTAAGTTTACAGAGTCCACATTGCCTTTAAGAAACTATCACTTGTAGTAAGCCAGGCGCGGTGGCTCACGCCTGTAATCCCAGCACTTTGGGAGGCCGAAGTGGGTGGATCACAAAGTCAGGAGTTCAAGACCAGCCTGGCCAATATGGTGAAAGCCCATCTCTACTAAAATTACAAAAATTAGCCGGGCATGGTGGCAGACCCCTTGTAGTCCCAGCTACTCGGGAGGCTGAGGCAGGAGAATCACGTGAACCCAGGAGGTGGAGGCTGCAGTGAGCCCAGATCGTGCCACTGCACTCCAGCCTGGGCGGCATCGTGAGACTCCGTTTCAAAAAAAAAAAGTATCACTTGTCTTGGCATCAGAGAACAGCCACAGTTGGCTGAAGGGGCTGTTTAGAACCTGTCTTCCACCTGTGCGTCTGTGTGGAGTCAGCTTACTGCAACGAAAACCAGTTTGGATGTAGAAGCAGCTGTAAGAATTCAACTGTTTCTTCTTATAACAAGAGACTAAAGATATTGTAAAATGCCACTCTCCTCCTTGGATTGTTTTGGAAGTTATTCTTCACAAAAAATGTTAACATGGACCGGGCATGGTGGCTCATGCCTGTAATCCCAGCACTTCTGGGAGGCTGAGGTGGGCAGATCACTTGAGCTCAGGAATTCAAGATCAGCCTGGGCAACATGGCTAAACCCTGTCTGTATTTAAAAAAAAAAAAAAAGTTAACATGATGATTTAAAAGTGCATTAACCTAGAAGAAAAGCTTTTTGGGGCAACCTCCAGAACTGTGAAAAATAAATTTGTTATTTAAAAAGAAAAAAGCTCTTTGAGGTTCTTAGTTTTTAGTAGCGTAAAGAGGTCCTACCACCAAATCATTTGAAAACTGCTACCCTGAGGAAACTGCCCCTCAGAATCGTCTTTCAGTTTTGTGTGCATTTAGTCTAAAGAACAGAAGGTAAGAATTTGGAGACAATCAGAAGATCTGGATTAGAAAACCTGTTTATTAGACTGGGGCACATCCAGCTGGTACATTTCAGTGCCCTTTCTGGTGCTGCCTGCCAGGAGCAGACACTGCACATTTCAGAACCCCCATCTAGAGAAACGCCTAACCTGTGATCTAGCTTCCGAGGCTCAGTGTTGGTTCCTGTGGTCGTGCTGATGTGTGGGCACCACTGGGGCCAGGCCACAGTCGGATGTTCCCTCCTCCAGGCTGACTCAAGGCTACAGGGGACGGCACGCCTAATGAGCAGGTCTGTCCTCCAGAAGCACTCATTACAAGCACGTTTCTGGCTAAAAAATAACCAGATCTTTTTGGCCATGCCCTCAGATTGGAGAAAGAAAACTTTTAATTTGGAATCACTGCAAAGACAAATGGTTTCTACAAATTATTTTATTAGAATATCAAACTCAAAAGAACTACCAGGAACATGCCTGAAAATGCTATATATGATTTATGCTTCACCCGTGACACCTGCTGTCACTGGATCCAGAGTGAGCAAGGGAAAAGGAAGTGGAGGTGGGCAGGGACAGCACCAGCCCTGGCTGGCCAGACCTCAGGCCCACAGACCTGGTCCCCACAACCAGGATCCCTACAAGGTACACATAGCTAACTCAGGCTCGACTCTCCTTTACCCAAGAGTAAATGCCTCAGGACTCAATCTGAATCACTGTCCGTCTCAGCTTCTTTCACATCCACGCTGAATTTGTACTCCTGGTCACATCCCATGTAAGCGTCACTCATGAAGTACAGAGTGTAGTTGTGGGCGCCAGTGGCTGGGGCCACAAAGTCCAACTTCACCTAGAAAGAGCAGGCAGAAATCATTATGAGCACGGACACGGGACGCATTCTCACCCTTCCCCCACGCCGGAACAAACGCTGGCGCCAGTGGACACACTCACCTTGGCCTTCTGCTGGAGGGTCAGCCTCTTGATGGAGATGAGACTATTGGACTTGGCGTCTCCAATCACCACCCACCAGCCCTCTTCACGCTTCTGCAGTGATCCAAAATCAAGAATTTCAGCATGTAAAACTTGATGGCCATAGGCAGCCATGAAAATGGTTACGGTTACAAAAGAAATAACAAAAATCAGATAGCTTTCCAAAGTTTCTTCCCGAAATACAATTAGATACAACATTTTAATACTGTCAAAAGTTGTCTCAAACAGGCTTAATTATTTAAGTAAGTAGATGAACTCATTTGTTGGTTCTGGCTCATTTCCTTGTGCCAAGGTACCTTCTCCCGCTTAGAACCTGCTGCTGAGTCCAAGGTACTACTGTTAGAGGTCTAGTCTTTGGGGCCTGGTAGCTTTGAGTTCCTTAGAGATACTTTTAAGTCCAGGGCATATCTGCCAGATGAGAAAAAGCTTAACCCAGAGCTGAATGTGCACAGAGATGATCCCCAGCAGGCCTTGCAGCCCTGTCTACTGGCTGCCCCACTGTCACAAAGACCAGGAGTCCTAGTTAAAAGCACTCGTTACTCAGAGCCTGTGAATTACACATGACAGGATCTGGTTTCTGCTGTCAACCTTCAATTCTTCTCCCATATAAAGAGAACCAGAATTTCTTTCTGCTGGTAAAAAACCAAGCACCCAGAAGCACAGTAAGTGGCAGTGAGAAAAAAGAAGAAACCACCAGGAAAGCCCAAGTGTCCTGGAGCCACGGGAGTTAAAGACAAACACATCTTAAACAGCCAGAGAGATGGAAATGCTGCACGACTGACGGGTTTCACAATGACCAGTCATCTACTTTTTTTTTTTTTTTTTTGAGACGAAGTCTCACATTGTTGCCTAGGCTGGTGTGCAGTGGGGCAA